CAGGGGGTGACACGCAGGGAGTGACATGCAGGGGGTGACACACAGGGGGTGACATGCAGGGAGTGACATGCAGGGGGTGACATGCAGGTGGTCCAGGGATGCCCCTCGTCGAGGGGACGATGCTGCAAAGGAGATGGATCCAGGCACAAACCCTGGGAGCACCTGCAAGGCTGTGATGAGCTGCCAGGTCTCAGCTGCAGAAGAGGGTCCCACAATGACCCCCTGGGCCACCCAAACTCCTCCCTCCCTGCACCAGGGCAGGTTCAAGGCCGGGGCTGCTTTGCTTTGGGATTGGAAATTCCCTCCTGGAATGGGACAGCAAAGCCATGGGCAGAGGTAACTGTGCAAAACCAAGGGCAGGGCCCCCACATCCCACTGCTCCCCTTCCCCACTGCTCCCCCCCAGCACTGGCAGGGACCCAGCAGGTCACTGGATGGGTGGCAGCTCCAAGGACACGGCCAGCCCAGTCTCACCAGCTGACTGGGAAAGAGCTTAGACTGGGATGAGGACCCAAGGCTGTTTCCATAGATCAATGGGGGCACAGATGGGGGGGCGGGGGTTGGACACCCAGCAAGGGGGGGTCTAACAGCCCAGCACCCCTGAGCTGGGGTAATAAAATGAGCTTTTTTTGTTGCAGCAGCTCAGCAGGTCACTTCCAGGGGGCTGGCAGAGCCAGCCTGGCCTCCCCAGGCAGCTTTTGGGAACTGGGATCATGGCTCAGGGGGTGTCTCTCCACTTGGTTGGTTCCTGGATTCAGCAGCAGCATCACAAAGCTGGGAAGGCCTCAGAGGGGACAGGGGAAGGACCCCAAGGGGACAAAGGTTCCGGTGAGCAAAGCCAGCTCTGCAGAGCCCCTGGGTACCAGGTGCTCCAGGGCAGACACTGATTTGTTGCACTGGTGTCCCTCTGTCCATCTGCACAGCCCAGGCTGGCTGAGTTGGGTGCCACCAGGAGCTCCTACAACTTAAAATCCCTCCTCTACCCAAGAGGAGACTCAGAGGGTCCCTCCAGGCTCCAGAAAAGCAGCAAAACAAAACACTTCAGGGGTTCCCAGCTGACTGGTGTCACCTCGGGGGGTCAGTCCCCTGCTGCCATTCCAGGGGCCACAGGTGATGTGCAGCAGGTGGACACACTGGGAGGAGAGGGACAACCACCCCACAGGGAAGGGCTGGTGCCCCGGGAGGCTGATGCCAGAGCTTGGCACACTCAGCACCTCCAAGGGCCATAAAGGTGGCCAAGAACACGGGTCAGCTGTGACTTTTCCAGCCTCCTGAGCACCTGCTGCCACGGCCAAACCATCCCCAGCAGGTTCAATAAAACACATTGTCAGTGAGGTCATCTAATAGCCCATTATTTTTTGATTTGAACTTTTTACCTTCACCTCTTCCTCTGTGCTGAATCAGCTCCTTCACTTGGCACTTGAATTCCTGCCCCATTTGTGAGATTGATAAGGGCTCTCCAGGGAGCCTGGTGGGAGGATGTTGAGGATGGAGCTTCTGGGCCACAAGACCTGCCCTGTTAATGCCCAGCAGCTCTGGGCACCATGTGGGGGGCAAGAAGGGTCTGCATGGAGCAAAGATCCAGCTCCCACCATCCCAGGCACCACAGGCATTGCCTGGTCTCCCAGTCCCAGGGTCTGGGCTGGACTGTTGCAGTGCCCAGTAGAACCAGTTTCACCCCCTTTCCTCCAACCCATTGTCCCAGCAGGTTGATGTGAGTGGAGACAAGGGGGGAAGGCTGGGCTGTGCTGCAGAGCCACTGCATGGGGACACAGAGGAAGCAGCAGCTGGGACTTCACAGGATCACAGCATGTCAGGGGTTGGAAGGAACCTCTGAAGATCATCCAGTCCACCCCCCCTGCCAGAGCAGGACCAAAACCAGGGCAGGTCACTCAGAAAGGCATCCAGACAGGGCTGGAAAGTCTCCAGAGAAGGAGACTCCACAGCCTCTCTGGGCAGCCTGTCCCAGGGCTCTGTCACCCTCACACCAAAGAAGCTCTTCCTCATGTTGAGCTGGAACTTCCTGGGCTCCAGTTTGAATCCATTGCCCCTCGTCCTGTCTCAGGGCACCAATGACAAGAGCTTGTCCCTGCCTTCTTGCTGCCCTCATGTATTGAGAGACATTCATTAGATCCCCCCTCAGGCTTCTCCTCTCCAGCCTGAACAGGCCCAGGTCTCTCAGCCTTTCCTCCTCCGGCAGGTGTTCCAGTCCCTTCATCATCCTCGTGGCCTCCCTTGGACTCTCTCCAGTAGATCCCTGTCCCTCTGGAACTGGGGAGCCCAGAACTGGGCACAACACTCCAAGGGAGGTCTCACCAGGGCTGAGTAGAGAGGGATGAGAACCTCCCTGACCTGCTGGACACACTCCTGATGCACCCCAAGTTGCAGGGATGCTCCAGGGGAGCCTGCCCAGGGATGGCTCCAGCTCCCATCCTCCCCAACCCAGCTGTGGGCAGAGCAGAACCAGACTCAGGAACATGTCTCTAGTCAACACCCTTTTATTAAAAACAATTACAAAAGAGTTACAGGTTACAACAGTTCTGTACAACCCAAAAACCTCTTCACCAACCACAAACCTCTGGTTTGACAGCGTTAACAGCGCCCGGGGGTGGGTCCAACATGAGCTCCTCACCCACAGCCAGGGTAGAGGTGCCCCCCTTCCCAGCAACATCCCCTGGAACAGGCAACCTCCCCCCCACCACAGCCCACCCCAGAGGTGTCATTTTAAGGGGTCCCAGCTGAAGTGTGGGGCAAGGAAAGGGAAATGATGGTGGTGGCCTGGGGGGTCTGGTGCCCAGAGGAAGGTGGGCTGTAGTGATGCTCCCCAGGCCTGGGAGGTGGGATTGAGCCCCCCAGCAGGACACCAGCAAACTGGGTGCTGGCTTTTCCAAGGAAGGAAGTAGGAGAGGGCCAGGGAGCTGGGAATGTCTGTTTGGGAACCTGGAGGTAAGAGCTGGCTTTGGAATGGAACGTGGCTGGGCAGCTGCTCCAGGGACAGGAGCTGCAGCCCAGCAGGGAAATTAACAGGGGGATAAATAAGGGAAAGATACAAACCTTCCTTCCCTGGGAAGCACTGAGCTTTCTCTCCTGCTCTACCACATCCTGGGCAGGAACAGCACATGGTTCCCTGCAGGTAATGGGAGAGGGGGAGAGGACAAAGTGTCCTGAGGCTGCTCCCCAGGGAAGGAGGTGGCTGTGGGATGAGAGGGATGTGCTGAGTGGGAACATGGGGACCTGCCTGGCCTGAAATGGGGGGTGACAAGTGCCACTGCCAGAGGAACACGGAAGGGGCTCAGCAGGGACAGGTGCCTTTAGTTCCTGCTTCTCCTGGTGGCTTCAGGAGAGCCTGGCAGAGCTTCTGAGGAGGGTGGTGGGGCAGGGGAGCCAGCAGGGCTCAGGCACGTGCCAGCAGCCTGAGCAGGACACAGCCCAGCCCCAGGCTGGCCACCGAGTGGGGACAGGTGAGTGGGACATGCTGGGGGACACACAGCACCTCCCTCAGCTCCACAGCTGTACCAAGCATCAAACCACCCTTGGCTGCAAAGAAAAACAAAAGCCAGCAGCTCCCTGGTTCCTGCTGGTCCTGGGTCAACCTGACCAAGCAGCCCGTCCCCAGGATGTGGGGCTGGCCCCACAGCAGCCACCATGGAGAGAGAGCCCCTGCTGGGGCTGAGCTGCTGCCCAGACCTCAGGCAATGAACCTCAGCTACCAGGGATCACCTCAGTCAGCTCTGATGTTCCCCAGAGCCTGGGCAGAGACCCCCAGAGCTGCCCAGGCTGCCCCTGCTCCAGGTGTGACAGAGACAGGGACAGGCTGGGGACACTCTTCTTAAAACACCCAACATGTAAACTAGTTTAAAAGAGTCACTTTTACCTATTGCTTTTGTTCTTGCCTGCATCAAATCCCTGCTCTCAGGGACAGGCTGGGGGGGAGCCCTGCAGGCTGCTAGGGGACCCCAAACCTTGACCCCTAACTATGTGCTTGCTGGACACGTGCTGGAAGCTCAGGGTCAGGACAGCTTGTCCTAACCTGCAAAGACACAAGCCCAGCTCTTGTCACTGTCCCCCCCAGCCTGGTTGCAGGTTCCTGCTGGCCCTGTTTGTCCCAGCCCTGCTGTCCCTGCCTCACTACCCCACACACCCATTCCCTGAGGTGGTGGCAAGGTCTGACACTGTTGGCTTCTCCCTTTTCCAGCACTTGCAGGAGCAGGATGGCAGCTCTCACTGGAGATCCCTGGTGGGTGGCAGCAGGCAGTGGTTCCCCTGACCCCCCCCCTCACTCCTCTGGCTTTCTCCTCCACATGGGTCTGCACCTGTATCTCCTCCCAGATGGTCTGACCCTCAGCTTTCCCACCCCTTGCTGTTCACACACCAGCTACACAAACCACTCACTTCACAGCTTCTTGCCCAACTTCCTTCCATTTCCCCCCACATCTCCAAACCCTGCAGGAATCTACCAGCTTTGGAGTCCAGAGGCAATTTAAGTTACATTTAGGGGCAGGAGGGGGGGGAAAGAAAAAGGAAAAGATCTACCTTTAACTGAACCAGAAAGATCCTTCTGCACATATCCAACCTACCTCTAAAAGCTCCTCCTAGGAACCAAGAAGTTCTCTCTGGTTGTGCTACTCAAAACCACCTTGCCATGTCTAGAAGGCAACTGTTGTACCACAGAAAATCCTTTGGGTGGAATAAAGAGGATGTGAGAGCCACTACCTGGAGGCAGGGACCTGCAGGCAGTGAGTTGGTGCAGTCCTGGAAGTCCCATGGATTCCTGGGAGCAGGAGGAGCCTGGAGGTGCATGCTGCTGCGTGCAGGTGGACAGTGTAACTGCCAGCATTTATTGCACTGCTTCCAAGAGGTGGAGGAGGAAGAAGAGAGAGAGAAAGCCAAGTCATCGCTTCACTTTAGCATCTTCTTTGATCTTCCAGACCATCAGCTCCATGCAGGCTCTGGCATCCTCGCTGGAGTCGTGCCCTTCCACTGGGGACAGAAAGACAAGGAGGGCAGTCACCACCTCAGCTCAGATGGCCCCTCTCACAGGTTGGAGAAAGGCTTCCCAAGAGGAGGAGAGCCTGGCAGCACAGCCCAGCTGCTCACTGCCCTCTGCCCCAGCAGCCACAGGTCCAGCCCTGATCCCCATGAACCACAGGGATGGACTTCAAAGGAGCAAAAATTCCATTAAACACATTTTTATGGACTTCAGCCTGACATTGTTTCCTTGCTCAAATGAAAAGCTGACGTCCTGCTGGGTCTGTAGGGCCCTCAGGCTATGGAGTGGCTGGTCAGAGAGGCCTCCATGTCCCCAGCAGAACCTTAACAATGTGCTGAAGGAAGAGAGGAAGGAACATGTTGTGCCTCAAACAGAAAGGTCAGTCTCAGTTTGCCAGAGAGAGAAGGGAGGGCACGTCCAGAGAAGCTGCTCCATCCCTGGCAGTGTTGAAGGGCAGGTTGGATGGGGCTTGGAGCAGCCTGGGCTGGTGGGAGGTGTCCCTGCCCATGCAAGGGGGTGGGACTGGATGGTCTTTAATATCCCTTTCAACCCAAACCCCTCCATGATTCTATGACGTGGCTTTGACACAACTACCCTCTCACCCCACTTCTCTGGTCTCCACTTGGCACAGAGAGGGAAGCAGCAAGTGCTGCTGGGCCTCCAACAGGGCTCAGACTGAAACTGTCTGGAGAACAGCCATGGGAAAAGAAAAAGGGCCTCCTCTATCTGTAAAGAAGTAGACAGAACATGAGACCAGCTGAGCTGTTTGCTGTGAGCAGCCCTGGGAATGTTGACAAAAATCAGAACACTGCTTATCCTGTACTTGGTGTGTGATTGGCGACAATCCTGGCAAGCTAAGGACTGTGTATGTGCCAAGGAGCAGGTGTGAGAGCTGTTTACACCCTCTGTACCCTGGTTGCTTCTTCTCAGTTCCCCCTGTAAAAGTATCTAAGGGACCATTTTCCCAAAAGCAACAATTCCAACTGCTCCTCAGCCTGTGGTGGTTGAACCCACCACAAAACTCTCTCTGCCCAGACACGATGGGGGTTTTTGGGGGGGAAGAAAATAAATAGGAGCAAGAGGACTGGGTAGAGCTGAGGAAGGCAGGTCCAAGGAGCCCACATCCAGGTGGGGTGGGGCAGGAGCCCCTCACTCTCAGCTCCTCTCCTGGGTCTCACCATTGTCCTGGATGATGCGCTTGAGGTAGTCTGCCATCAGGTTGCGCAGAGCCCGCTTGTAAGGCAGCCCCAGGCGGTGGGGGAAGACGATGGCCGTGTCCACCACGGTGCCATGGATAAGCTGGAGGGAGGGAGGAGGAAAGCAAGGTGCTTGTTATTTTCCCTCTCCCACAGGGAGAGACATTCCTGAGGATTAATCATGCTCAAGCAACCGCCCGGCCGGGCGCCGCGCAGCGTGAGTGGTGAGCCCCGACCCAACCAGGCCTGCTGAAATCAAGGTTGGCTCCTCCTTGGGAGGCTCTGGCTGCATCAAGGTTGACTTCCCCTTGAAGGGTACTTCCAACACAGGCTGTGCCAACAAACCTGCCCTCGACCCCTGCCTCGCTGCACACTGAGGGCAGCAGAAAGTCAGGGTTGGTTCAGTTTAACTCGAATGAGGGGCTGGGTTGAGCCTCAATTCCCTGGCACAGCCCTGAGAGCAGCTTTGAGAATGAAGAGCTGAGGAACCAGTTGACCTCACTAAGCCTGAAACAGCCAACTGCTCCTCAAGATGTGGCCAGAAGTGGGAAGGAGCAATCAAAGCTGTACATCACCCTGCTTCCATGGAAAAGGCCTGGGCTGCAGGATGCCAGCCAACCTGAAACCCTCCTGTCAGCACCAAGTCAGCAGGCAGTGTTTAACCAGCACCACCCTAGCAAGGCTGAACTGGGACAAGGAGATCTTGTATTTCTGGGCAGAAGGAATGACACAGTGGATGGAAGGGAGGCCCTGGACAGTCCTGTGTTGGGCCAAAGTGCCTGGGCACACAGGAGAGGCAAGGGGTTTGCTGTCCTCTTGGTACAAGGTGTCCCCATGCTGGAGGAATGGAGGATGCTGAACAGGTTAACATGCACATGGAATTACAGAATCATGGGACGGTTTGGTTTGGAAGGCACCTTAAATATCACCTTCATCCACTCAGGGACACCTCCCACCAGCCCAGGCTGCTCCAAGCCCCATCCAACCTGCCCTTCAACACTGCCAGGGATGGGGCAGCCACAGCTTCCCTGGGCAACCTGGGCCAGGCTCTCACCACCCTCACACTCCACAATTCCCTCCTCATGTCTCACCTCAATCTCCCTCTGCCACTTTTCATCCATCCCCCCTTGTCCTCTCCCTCCCTGCCCTTGTCCCAAGTCCCTCCCCAGCTTTCCTGGCGCCCCTTCAGGCCCTGGAAGCTGCTCTAAGGTCTCCCTGGAGCCTTCTCTTCTCCAGGCCGAAGAAAAGGCGACAGAGTCAGATACATCTGACAGAGCCCATGCTCACAGGCTAAGCTGGCTTTTTAAAAACACTCATTTTTTACTCAGGCTAAGACAAGATTAATCCTGTTGCCAAGAGTACGTGTCCAGTGAGACCTGAAGGAAGTGGATGAAGGCAGCCCCACGTCTTGAGTGCAGGTCTAAGAGACAAACCTGCCTCACCAAAACACCTCTGCAGGTCCCACCACAGGATGACTCAGGCAGGACTCTACTAATCCTGTCTCCTCCTCTGCTTTGAATCCTCCCAGGCCCCAGCAAGCACCTTGTGACAATCCCCAACTTCATCAGTAACAGCTCCACAGCCCAGCTCCAGAAAGGCCTGAGAACATCTGCAGTTCAGCAGAACAACCTGCCATGCTATTCCGAGGAT